CCCCAGCTGTCCTGGAACTCACTATGTAGACCAGGCTGGACTTGAACTCACAGAGATCCGCCTGCCTCTTCCTCCCGAGTGCTGGGATTAAAGGCATGTGCCACCACACCTGGCCTGCTACTTAGATCTTTTAAAAGGCTTTTTTTTTTTTTTTTGAGACATGGACTCTCTGTAGCCCCAGCTAGCCTGGAATTCACTATGTAGACCAGGCCAGTTCGCTGGCCTCGAACTCACAGAGATCTGCCCAAAAAGGCTATTTCTTAAGGGAGGAGAGATGGCTGCTCTTGCAGAGGACCCAGGTTCAATTCCCAGCACCCATAAGGCGGCTGTCTGTAACTCCAGTTCCAGGAGATCTGACACTCTCTTCTACATACATGCAGACAATACACTCATACATATAAAATTAAAATAATAAGGGCCAGGCATGGTTGTGCACACCTTTAATCCCAGCACTTGGGAGGCAGAGGCAGGCGGATCTTTGTGAGTTTGAGGGCAGCCCGTTCTACATAGTGGGGTCCAGGACAGCCGGGGCTACAAGGAGACCCTGTCTCAAAAAGACAAAAAAAAATTAAAATAATAAATAAAATATTTTTGCAGGTTATTTATTTTTCTCTGGGTCTCACATGAGTCTGAGAGTCATAGACTGTTACATTCCAGCAAGATCTGGCCAAAATAACACAAGTTCTAAATTAAATGACCTCGAATAGCATTGTGTCTAAACAAGAAGGCAGAGGGAGAGAAAATACAAAGAGAGCCCAAGAGTTTTATATGTTAACTTTTTCATTGTATAGTTTTGAATACAAAAAGCAAGTGCTCAGCTGAAGAACTGGAGGGTGGGAGGGTTGCAAATGGTTACTTTTTCCCAGACTACTGAAGAAGCGAGGAGAGGCAGTACGGGAAAGGAAAAGGGAGCAGGAGGGAGTGAGAAGGAGAGGGAAAGAGATAAGTTGTACAGCAGGGTGGCTAGGAAGAAACTGTTGAATTTAGTGATAGCCAATTTATAATCTCCAGTCAGGACTGAAGATACTTTGAAGAGAGATACAGCCTGGCATAGTGGCACAGGTCTTTAATCCTAGCACTCAAGAGGCAGAGGCAGGCAAGTGGATCTCTGTGAGATCGAAGCCAGTCTAATCTCTATAGTGAGTTCCAGGCCAGCTGGGTCTACAAGGAGACCCTGTCTCAAAAAGATCACAGAGAGACAGAGAGACAGAGACAGAGACTTAGGCACAGAGACAGAGACTTGCACCCCCTCCCTTTGACTAGGAAACTATGGAAACAGCAGTCCCCAAGGAATTGGAATCCCAGCCTTCCCCGGCCCCACCCCCCAAGAATTTCCTAACTTTTCAGGTTTCCTTGCTGGAGAGACTGGAGCTGAGATAATGAGAGATGAGTGGTCTCAGGGACCATACCTTAATCAGGACCCTTTAGTTATGCAAGCTTCCTTTCCTCTGTTTAAACCTAAGCCTCCTGTCAGGAACCTGAAAATGGACTTGGAGAGGGGTCACTGAACCTCTTTATTTTTTGTTCCTCTTCCCAATGTGGGCATATTGAATAAATCTCCTTTTTATTTTGGGGGGGTTTGTTTTGTTTTGTTTTTTATAGGTCTTCCCAGCTGGTCTGGAACTGGCCTTAATCTTACAGAGATCTGCCTGCTCTGCCTCTCAAGTGCCTTCCTTCTGCTAGGAGCAAAGCATTCTCCACTGTATCTGGCTAATTATATGTCTCTTTAATCGGTATTGAGGACAGGTGTCTGAACCCAGCTTTGTTAGAACTGCCAGGACCCAAGCTTTGAGTCTAAGAAATGCAGTAACAGGCTGGATCCAGAGCATTTGTCTTTTTAGTGATTTTTCTCACTTAGGTTGTGACAGAACAGGTTAAACTGTTATAGAATGCCATGGAGGAGCCAGCATTTCTGCTGTGGGAATGTATATAAGGGCCGGTTGTTCTTTTCTTTATGAGCATCTAAGGATCAAATCTAGTCTTCTTTTTATTCATTCATTTATTTATTTATTTATTTATTTATTTATTTATTTATTTATTTATTTTCTGTCCTGGAAACTCACTATGTAGACCAGGCTGGCCTTGACCTCACAAAGATCTGCCTGCCTCTGCCTCCCAAGTGCTGGGATCAAAGGTGTGCACCACCACACCCAGCTATTTATTTATTTTTTATTTTTTGTTTATTTATTTATTTTGGTCTTTTTGAAACAGGGTCTCCTGGTAGACACAGCTGGCCTGGATTCACTATGGAGACCAGGCTGGCCTTGACTCACAGAGATCTGCCTGCCTCTACCTCCCAAATACTGGGATTACGGTCATGTGCCACCAAGCCTGGCTATTTTTATTTTTACATATTTATTTATTTTTGGTCTTTTTGAGACAGTCTCCCTATAGCCCCAGCTGTCCTGGAACTCACTATGTAGACCAGGCTGGCCTTGAACTCAGAGAGATCCGCCTGCCTCTGCCTCCCGAGTGCTGGGATTAAAGGCGTGCGCCACCATGCCTGGCTTTATTTTATTTTTTATGTGTATGAGTGTTTTGTTTGCAAGTATGTAAGTGCACCCATGGTTGTTAGCTGCCATGTGGGTGATGGGAACCAAGCAGCCAGTGCTCTTAACAGATGAGCCATCTCTCCAGCCCCATTTCCTTTTTTCTTGAGACAGGGCCTTGTGTAACTCAGGGTGGCCAGGTGTGTGCCACTACATCTGGCTAAACCAACTTTTGAGAATTTTCCCAGGAGTAAGCCAGAGGGATTTGAATGCAAAGACATTTTGGATCCTACCAAGACACAACATCAACCCTAGAGGGTGAGGGACACCTTGTTTTGTCCTCAAGGGACCTGAGACAGTGCTCTAAACTAGGGAATCCCCTGAGAATAAAGCACCTTTGGCTTGTGATAATGAAAACTGGTTTTACTTAGGAGCCGGCTACAGGCTACAGGTCAGAGTGTTCAGTGCATCAGGTAGACCAACTTCAAGGGGCAACTCACAAACTGAAACTTGTTCACATTAGTCATGAGGAGAGGGGACTCACTGTCTCAGAAAAGTGACAGCCTGGACACTTGTAAGCCTCTTGGATCAGGAAGTTTGGCCAGGAGGGGAGCAGCAGATAAACATGGCAGAGAAAAGAAATAGAAATGAGGGGACAGGGAAGAGGGAGTCTCACAATACATGTGGATTCACTTTGAAGAGTTGTTGCAGCTAACTGGACCACCCAGGAGGAAGAAATGTGACCCCTTACTCTTCTAGACTGCTTTAACAGTTGCTATCAGATTCCACTACAATGTTGCTTTGGCCAGGGGCTTTCAGTTGTGAATGGGAAGTGAGGCTCTGACAAGGGGCAGAAAGGAGCTCCTTAACTTGTTCCCAGATGAGTAACAGTAAGTAGTCCAGAGTCATAGCCTGGAGGTTTCTGGAATTCTCTGGAGAGCATTTCTAGCCAGAAGCCTTCAGCTGCTCACAGGCTGATCAGCTGACAAAAACAAACACCAGCCAGGCATGGTGGTGCATGCCTTTAATCCCAGCAATCGGGAGGCAGAGGCAGGCAGATCTCTGTGAGTTCGAGGCCAGCCTGGTCTCCATAATGAATC